GTGTAGTCCCCGATGAGGAAGGTGCGGGCAGCAGCAGTCCCGAGGCCCTCTGGGATATGTAGTCCCTGGCAGCGACACCAGCGCCGGTCACCTCAGCCCCGGAGTGCAGTTCCCCACACTTTGAGTTTAGGTCTGCTAATATATCCCCTAATGCCATCGAACACAAACCTCTGGAAATATGAACTCAAAGAAACAAAGCTGTATCAAAGTCTACTCAACACCAATTACCCATTTTGTACTAATTTTGTGCCATTTTGTACTAATTTTGTGTTGTTGGTCATTTAAGTCAGATGCAAACCGTGTATTTGAGTTCACCAGTGTTTGTAGAGTAAGTTTAACTCTACCAATGTTTGGCAGGTTTACCAAAACAGTTTGTACAGGGTGAAGAGCTGTCTTGGATTCTGTGAAGGGCTTCTTGAGTTGTCCCTTACCTTGGGTAGGTGATGAGGGAAAAAAGGCATTTAGGCAAGGGCATCTGTTTACTCCCCACCTGTTGTTTACAGTGGTAGCTGCACAGTTCAGTCTCATCCCATCTGGAAGCCTGTGGATCAATAAGATTCTTAATTAGTCCATTAGTGTGTTCTACTACTCCATTAGCTTGTGGATAGTAGGGGACATGGAATGTCCATTTAATACTTTCTCTCTTAGCCCATTGTTGTACTAAATGAGAAGTAAAATAAGTCCCAATGAGAAGTAAATAAGTCCAAATGAGAAGTAAAATAAAATTGGATATTTGTGGGTGTAAGCAGAGTCCAAAACACCTTTTCTAAGAAACAAACCATATTTTCACCATTGGCCTTAGAAACAGCCTCGGCACAAGTCAGTCCAAACACCACCTCCACCATCAGGAGGATGTACCACTCTTTGTTCCCTGAGCTGCAGAAAGGGCCAATGTCATCCACCTGCCATGTGGACCACAAAGTTTTTCCCCCTCTCTGATGTGTCAAGTGTCAGTCGTTAAGGGATGTTCTCCCAATCTGATCTTGCAAAGATCACATTCAGAAAGAGTTGTTTTGCACTGTTCATGTGTGACAGGCCAGCCATGAGTCTGGGACTCTTTATACAAGTCAAAAACCCCTGAACAGCCCCATTTTCAGTGGAGCCATTCAAGCAACCATTCCCATTCCTGGCTTTCTCCTGCTGCTGCAGTTTGGATCTCCACCACACTGATTCAAGTTCATCAACACAGTTGTTCCATCTGCTGGCTTCATCTTTCAGGTTAGTCTGGTGGGAAGGAATCCACCCTACATGAAAGTTGGGATTTTCCTTTTCAATATTTGTTGCCACTTCTCTTTCTGCCAAACTGGCACTCCATTCATTTCCCAATTGTTCTGCTCCCAGAAAGTTACCCACCCAGCACAGCCCTTAAAGACTGAAAAAGAGTCAGTGTAGATACACACAGCATCTTTAGAGGCTTTTTCTTTCTCAAGAACATTTAGTACTTCATCTAGCTCTCCCACTTGAGCACTGCCTTCATCCTGATTTATTATTTGCTTGCCTGTGGAAGGTTTAATTGCAGCAGATTTAAACCACCAGATTTTCCCTTCTCATTGGGCTGAAGCATCTGTAAACCAGGCATTGGCCATTTCATTCTTGTATTCTGGGGCTACTTTAATAGGACTGGGAGTTTTCATTATTAAATCCTTTTCTTTGGTAGATACAGTTTGTTCTTGGGCTTTTAATTGTTTATCCAGACCTTCTTCGAGCTTGAAGAGGTTAGAATAGTACTCAATTTGGCTAAACCATTTCCTGATTGTCCCCTTTTGGGATATTCCTTCAGGAGGAGTTCTCCCAGACAGCACTTGGTTAACCACTTTGAAAGGGGCTTGCAGAATTACCTTTTGTTTCTTGATAATTTTGCTAATTTCTTTTAGTGCCATGCATACTGTCAACAATCCTTTCTCCAGAGGGGAATAACATTTTTCTGAATCTTTAAAAGACTGAGAAACAAAGCACTGGCTGAGAATCCCCATTCTGTTATTATTGGATCTTCTGAGTGGAGAGGTCTCAGAGTTTGAAAAGTCTGAGCTTCCAATAATAATAGCCTCAGGGCCTCATCATGGGATGTATCCCATTCCCAGTGGCAATTCTTTTTCAATAAGTCATAAGGAGAATGTGCTATGACAGAAAAGTCTGGAATATGCTTCCTCCAGTATTGAAGAGTTCCCAATATTTCCTGTAAATCCTTTTCTTGGATGGCACCTTTAATTGATTCAGATGAGACAAGGTATCAGAGGGAATATTCCAGGTTCCCCCTTTCCACCTTATCCCCAGGAACCTGACCTCTGGGGATGGGAGCTGCCTTTTCTCCTCAGGAATTTCTATTTGCAAGTCTGCTAGATGCTTAACTATGGCATCATGAGCAACCTTTACCTCTTCCTCACTCTGACCCCCTCTCAGCACATCATCTGTGTACTGATAAGACTTTTATTTTAGAATTATCTTTGATTTCTGGAATGTTTTCCAGCTCACACGCCAGTGTGGGTGTTTGTAGCCTTGGGATAACCTTGTGAAACTGTATTGCACCCCATCCCAAGTGAAAGCAAAATATTTTTGGTCTTTAGGAGCAATAGGAACCTGAAAAAACATGTCTTTTATATCCAGAGAAGCCAGCACTGGGTGTGCTGCTTCCTGAATCTCTAGCACCAAATCAGCCAGTCTGGGAACAGAGCTGTTAATGCCTCAGTATTGGCATTCAGCTTTCTGCAACCCACTGTCACTCTGCATTTGGGTTTCTCACGGGCCAGATCAGAGAGTTAAATGGTGAATGACAGGGCACAGTGATGCCTCGTTGTCTTCAATCTGAAACCACCTCTTTAATGCCATTTTGGCAGCAGTTGGAAGAGGGTATTGCCATATTGGTTGTGAAGAGAAGGTGATGCCACATTGCCCAGCCAAATCAACCTGCAGGGTAGAAATTTGTGCCTCAGTATCTACCACCAAAATGACTGGATAACGTTCTGCTCCCTCTGACTCCTTTTCCTGGACTTCTTCCTCTCTGAAAAATTCCTGAGAGAGCCCTACAGGACGTCTGACTGGTGGATATTGTGTACCAGCCAGCTGAGATATGGCCTCCTACTGCTTTTTCCTCTGGGGAATATAAGCTGAGGAGGCAACAAGCCCAGGAGCTTGTTGTTTTTGGGAAGGACTGGGCATTCCTCTCAGGTGACTTATGGATAAATGCTTTAGCTGGACAGTTTGACTTTATCAGGCTGGGGTTGTCTCAGCTGCCCTGATGGTATTGATTTATTTAGAAACAACACCAATAAAAACTTAAGGTTCAAGGAAGGTAATATGTCTATGTCAAAGGAAAAACCTGGGGGGGGGGTAGGATTAGGGAAAGGAAATGGGGGAAAATGAAAGGAAATGAGAGAAAAGGTGTGTACGTGCCTGGTTGGCATCTTTCACACTGAAAACATCAAAACAAAGCAGCAAGTAATCACCACCAGGAACAAAACTGTTAAGAAATACATGTCAGGTTTGTATTTAATGCCTTTTCCTCACATTCATTTAATTTTATTCTATTTTTATTTAATTATTTACTGACTCCTACTGCTTATTCCCTCACAGTCCTTCACTTCTTCCTAATGCTGAAACAATAATTAATGATGTAATTGTTTCTCAGCCTGAGTACTGCAGTGATGTTCTTTTAGGTTTCCTTCTCCTTTTGATTTTTCCTCATCATTTTTTCCCAAACTATTTTTCTTTCTTACATGGCGTCTATTTGGGAGTCTTCATAGACCTGTTTTCCACAGAGAAATGAATTTTCTTATTCATCTCATAGCACAGGCTAAGCTTTTTTATTTGACATTATGTTCTCTGAAGCTCCTTCCTTTAGTTGCTGCAAGTAACTGTTCTTTTTGTGCTTTTCATTTACACTTTTCTCTATGTTTTTCCATTATGCCATGATTGCTTCCTAATTAAAATCATCTCCCAAAACAAAAGATAATGAGTTTTAATTCAGGAGCTTCAAATCTGGTCCAGTTTATGTTGTTTCTTGGCCAAACATGAAGTTGTTTTCAATCTGTGCCTTTGATGAGCGAGCCTGAGGAGTTAAGTTCCTTATTTTAAAAAGTGAGTACTTTCTTTTCTCACTTTAGAATCATAGAATCCTTTAGGTTGGAAGGGACCTCCAAGATCAAGTCCAACCATTGTTTAGTTGTTGAGTTCTTTACCCATCTACACAATGTGGCAAAGTCTCTGTTTCTGGAAAAGATAAAAAGGAGTTGTAGAATGAGGGGAAAAAAATCCTTCCAGTTAGGGAGAACTCTTTTCTTCCTTAAAGAGACAAGATGCCCCAAAGAACAGCATCAATACTTTGATTCCTTACCTCTGGTGTTCTGTATTTGGAGCCACAAGGGGTCCCAGTACAGCAGAGTTTACTCAGAGGGATCACAGCAGTGACTGAAGAAGTAATTCCTGCAGTAACAGCGTTGTAATAGAGGCAGGGAACATCTTTGATAGTATCTCTGAAGATTTTTGGGGTTTTTATAAATCCATGGGCATGTTATGGGACTGTTGTGCTACTTCTTACATTTCCCAGTGACTTAACTGTTGCCCTGTGCTGGTTTCTTTATTTTTTCAAATTGCATCCTGTTCATGTTGCTTTTGAATATTGAACCCTCACCTTACCTCTGATACACTAAACTTATTTCTTTATAATCTTCACACCTCCAGATGTGCTATAAAAGGTGCTATTAACAATCAGCAAAGCTCAGCCACATCAGGAAATACCTAGTGCAGGATTAAGAGCTTCAAAAAAAATGAAAACCATCTCTTTTTTTGAAACTTAGTATAAAAATATATTAGCATTCTGGAGCTGCCTGTTGAAAACTGTAATGATCAGAGCACTCGTGCTGGGCTGTGACTTATGCTCTGGTAGCTGATCTCCTGAAGATGACTCCGTGTTGCTGACTGACATGATTTGATGTTTCAGGTTTAGAACGTGTGCTGTGCCATGCATCATTGATCTGACATTTCCAAATTCCTTGTGCTTTCAGTCAATTGAAGAAAATGAAGTTTACCTGCCAAACGATGAGCTCTGGATCTATGAAATGGATAGTGGGCTATGGTACGTGGCCTAATTTACCCCTAATTAATATAGATAAAGTTGATCTTTGCCTAGATTACAATTAGGTGCAGTGAAAGGGCTTCGGTTACGTCACGTCCCCTGGGGTTTAAACAGCAGATGTTTAATGTAAAGACTGAAGAACACACAGATGTACTTGCAAATTAACTCTGGGGAACACATTAATTTCTTAAGTATAATTGCTTTTTTTGAAGAGGATGTTTGAAATGCCCAGCTTAGGGCTCTGTTGTTAAAAGAGGCGCATTTTATTGGGGCATTTATTTTGGCTTAGTTCTCCATACGTGAACTTTTTTTGTTAAAAGGAATATTTAAACACTAGCAATTTGGGTTCTTGATCTATTTACAATTATGTATTGTTTTGTTATTAATTGTTTTCTGAGTGTATTTGCATAAATAACTCCTAACTAACTAGATCTTGCACATCACTAGGAATTTATTCTTTACCTTTTATGTTCCTTGTGTTTACATATCCTATGTGGGGAGACATAAAAATGACTCTTTAAAATTTTCCAGTGGTTTCTATTACAATATTTTATTCAATCTGATAAAGTCATATCCACTCAGGCTTATAGGTGTTTTCTGCCAGCTGTCTTTCTAGTTTCCCACTTGTTTGCTTGATTTTGGCTTAAAAGCAACAGTTTGGAGGGAAGAGGGAAGGAGAACTAGACCAGGAAGGTGTCCTAGAGGATGTGGGAAGTTCCACACCTGTGAGGCCAAATCACTGACAGGAAGGAGTTTGTATATGATGGGTTGTGAAGTTCTGGCCAGTCTTTTTTCTTTTTTTCCTTACACTCATACCCTCACTGAGCCTGTGGGTTGCTGTCCCTTGGTGAAGGGGCTGGCTAAAGCAACCCTGTCAGTTGTACTGGTACAGCTGTTTGTACAGTCACCTGAGAAATTGGATCAGGAGAGTTATCTGGGTTAAATATAACTTCATTTCTCAGGGTTATTTTTAACCTGGAGCTGTTCTGGATCTCGTTCAGTTTCCCAACACGGTCCTACACGTCTGGCTGAGTGTGCAGCATGGCATGGGAGCAAGCTGGAGCAGAGGAGGGGAAGGAGGGCTTGCTTGTGGCCAATCTTTGCCCCAGCCTAGGTCTTTGAGGCTGGAGTAAGGTCAAGCTTCAGAACTCAAAGCTGGAAGTACTCTCTTCCTCTCTATGGCCACTGGTGGTAGAAAATGAAGGCATCTAGATGAGGGTGAATCAAACAAGGGATGAGTGGAACTGGCTGGGTCAACATGTGTGGTGAGAGTAGAGCTAGCAGAGAGGAAAAAAGTGGAATTTGGCACGAGTCAAGTCAGGTGGAGAGTTGAGGAAAATGAACTGGAACAGCAGGGGAAGAATCTTCAACCAGAAACCGTGGAGTGAAAGCTGGGGTGAGGAGTTGAGTGCCAGCACAGAGAGGCTGGGTTTGGCTGCTAAGTGTCTCCTGGTCTTTGAGCATCTCTGTGCCAGGACAGGCTGAGAGCCCTGGGGCTGTTCAGCTGGAGAAGAGAAGCCTCAGAGGGGATCTGATCAATGCTGAGCAAGAGCTAAAGGGCCCATGGGTTGAAGAGGCTGGGGCCAGACTCTGATTTTCAGTGGTGCCCAGAGACAGGACAAGGGGCAGTGGGCACAAACTGGAACCCATATGTGGTATATTGGCATATTTGGTACCAGAATTATTGAGTTCTTCTGGCCTTTATTCCTACTTCTGCCTTAGTTCTCCACTTGTAAAATAACAGCAATACCCTTTTTCAGGAGTTTTTGGAGTTAATGGTATTTCCAGCTTTTGAATGATGTTTCAGCTCTATTAATGCTCTGTCAATACAGGCTTTCCCTTGAGGAAAGTTGAGATGCTTCACAGACAGACAGTATTCACATCAGAGACCACAGGTCCACTTGTTTTCCTTACACTCAATAACACAAAATAACTTGTTAAAAAACAAACAAAACTCCTTACACAAAATAACAGCAATACCCTTTTTCTCATTTCAGGAGTTTTTGGAGTTAATGGTATTTCCAGCTTTTGAATGATGTTTCAGCTCTATTAATGCTCTGTCAATACAGGCTTTCCCTTGAGGAAAGTTGAGATGCTTCACAGACAGACAGTATTCACATCAGAGACCACAGGAGCCTGGCTTTGTGTGTCAGCTGTAGTTCCTAGTGGTAGCTACAGCCAAAACCTTTACCTTTAGGTCTAAAAAGTTCTACTAAATCTGTTTTGGCTTTGTTGATTGTTAGCAGGTTTGAAGGTGGCGTTGTGAAACTTCATGTGTGTGTTAAATTGCAGGACGATGCACCTGATGGAAGGAGAGTTACCTACCTCCATGTCAGGAAGCTGTGGGGCAAGCATCAATGGGAAGCTGTACATTTTTGGTGGATTTGATGATAAAGGATACAGTAATCGGGTATTGTATTCTTTTATTTCATAACTTCCTGCCTTTGACTCATAATGCTGCTCTTACTGTTTTGTCTGGTGTACTTTGCATTTGAATGAAAGCTTTCCCTTATATTGCCGCTTATTTTTGTAGAGGAATTGTATTTTTCAAGTGACAAAAATCTTTGCTTTTTTCTTGTTAATGCTCAACTCCATATATTTGGAGGGATATTTCACTGGATGACAACTTCAGGATAATACCCTTTACATGAAACTTCCAGTGTGTATTCTGAAAACTGCCAGTGCTTTCCCAGTTGCTTTTTTCTTCTTAATACCTTAGCAGCCATAATTGCAATTGATCTCAGAATATCACTTTTATTTTTTTTTTGGCTTTTTGATGGTGATTATCTTATATAATCAGGTAATAATTAAATTAAAACAGAGCTGCCAGTTTTCCTTGTCACCAAAGACCTGGAGTAGGACAAATGGATTGAGCTGGTTTGTCATTTAGTGTCAGTGAAGTCAGGATTCAATCCTGCCTAGAAACTGGCTGAAGTGGAGCCTGGAATCAAGTTACTACTTGGTTCAGAAGACTTGTGGATTTTTGTGGGCTTACCTCGTTAGGTGAGGAGGAGAATTGAACTGGGAGAGAGTTGAACAGGAGCATTGAACTGGGAGCAGTTATTTGCAAGGCTGCAGCTGGCTCTGGAAGGAGCAGGATGATCCTGGGCTGCTCTGGCTGAGTGGAGGCAATTTCCTAATTCTCCCATTTTAACTGGGTTCTTCTGGTGTATTGGAGCTTCCTAAATATTGCTACATATTATAAACTTCACTGTTCCTTCCTTTTTTTCTTTTCTAAAGGAAGTAGTGGGTTCTGGGGGTGGGGAGGGTGGTTCTTTTTGTTGGTGATGTGTGCTGGATTCTTCGCCATCATTTATACTGAAAATATTGTAATTTTTTTCTTTTAAGCTGTATTATGTTAATTTGCGAACAAAAAATGGAACCTATAGGTGGAAAAAAATTACAAATTTTAAAGGTCAACCTCCTACACCACGTGACAAGCTTTCCTGCTGGGTGTATAAGGACAGGTAACACATTAAGAATATTTACTATGTGTTAATTGCAGAGAGGAAGTACTATAAAGCGAAGAGCACACAGGTTTGGGATTCAGGAAACTCTAATTCTTAGCTTGACTTGCTCTGGGATTTTGTGTAACTCTCCTAACAACTTTCTGCCAGAGTTTTCTCACATGTGAGCTGAATTAATGGTGAGTATAAACCCACTTCAGGAGAGGGTTGGGAAATTCAGTGAAACTTTGGGGAATGCTTTGAGAGTGGAGATAAAATTCATTATGCATCTATGAATGATATTTTTAATTTCTGCATGTTTTTGTGGCATCATGGAAGCATTAAATTGTTACCTGCAGTAAAATATATTTAGTATATTTGGAAGGATTTTAATGGCATACAAATGCTGACAATCACAAGGGCATTTCAGTGTTTATCTTTGTTTTCTAAGAACCAAGACAACCTAGATATAGTGTATTTAGGAAAAATACTTGGCTGAAAATAAATGTTTCACTTCCTATTCTGTGTTTATTATGGAATTGTCTGGATATTGTGGCATGTGTGGTCACAAGAAAGTGACACATCAGTGATTCATTAAACAAGAATATGATACATGGTGAACACTGCACATTTTAAATGATTTCTCTGTTCCTGACCTCCACATCTCCAGAGGTTTTTGTATAAACTGCATAATGCCTCTGAGTACTGGCATCTTGGGTTTGTAAATCCAACAGAACTGCAAGATCTGTGCAAGTTACTGTATTTGAACAACTTCTTAGCTGCCAACAAGGTTATTCAAAACTACAGGAGATCTGTTCAGAGCATCATGTGATCCACATACTGAGAAAATCACTTGGTTGGGTGGCAGGGTGTAACCTTTTCATTTAAGAGAGGTTTTTGGGGACAAGCTGTGCACCTTTACAGAATTATACCTTAAAATGTCACAAGATGTGCATCTTGCAGAGGAGGATGTCTTGGTGTGTTGCACAATGCTTTCAGTAACTGTTTCCCTAGGAATGTCAGTCTGGAATGACCTTCACCATCCCATCATTTCCCAAATTGCCTTCTCCCAAGAGAACTTAAAGCTTTAGGAAGCATAACTTAAGGATGGCTATCTCATGGGTGGAATTTTGGGCTGGGAGGTGTGTAACAGTACTTGCTCAGCAGTGCTTAGCTGAAAGAATCTCTTGAATAAGCTAGAGAAGGACCCTGTGGGTCACAGGCAGCCTGTGGGCTGAACCTGGGGAATCTTTGAAGCATCCAGCAGGTTAAGAGGTCTGCCAGGAGCAGAGGAATTTCCCTGGAGAAGGGCAGGAACTGGAGCAGAAGCACAGATGATGTTTCACTGTCTGGTGTGTTCTGTGGCGTTCGGAGACGCACCTCTGGGAAGGCGACTGTGATAAATAAGGAGCAGAGAACAGGGACTCTGAGGCGTCTCACCTGGGTTTCCATCAGGCTTGTGGAGGAGTGTTGCTATTTACCTTCCTCTCAGTAAGATTTGCTGTGTAATTTAGTGCAATATGAAACCTTTTACATTGTTTATGTTATTAATAGTATAGAAGGTAACCCAAAATGCAGAGTTAATTATTCCAGCTCATTCATGTGAATGCTGCTACAAACCAGGAAACTGAACTTGTTTTTTGTTGTTCTTCTTTCAGGCTGATCTATTTTGGTGGCTATGGCTGCAGGAAGCATAACGAGTTGAGTGATTGTTTTGATGTCCATGATGCCTTTTGGGTAAGAGACTTGTCACAATTCAGAGTGATTTGTCCTTTCTGACTGCCAAAATGTGATCTTTTATCCCATACTCAAGGAGTATGAAAAGCTGTCTGATTTTCCTTTTATCTGTAGCATCAGCAGAAATGCAAATTAGACTCTCCTACTTTGATTTGAAGTTTCAGATCTTGCACGTTGGGAGTGGTGGGTGTTTGGTGTCTTCCAGGCACCCAGCTCGAGGCTCTGAGTGCAGTGAAGTAGAACACTGTCAAAGCAAGAACAGAGGCACTATTTTAAATCTGAAAACATAGTTTAAATCTGAAACTCCCAGAAAATGGAAGAATTTATTCCCTTGAAGGTGACGATAGGGAATTTGTAGCTTCACAAGTCTTAACTGAGAAATACTTTGTTAGTTCCTTGAATTTGTTATTCAAGAGTAAATGCCATTATTTTAAGATGCCTGGATTAGCTAGTTTCCTATAATGATTCCTTACAGTAATAGAAAGGAGGAGGCAGATTAGAGTATTTAGTGACAGGGATTAATAAGAAATATATATGTATGCAAGGGAGTATAGATCCTTGCATCAAATGTTAAATACTGACTTGCAGCAAGAGATTCTACAAAGTACAAGCTATTTATTTCTCAGTATGTTATGCTAAAAATGACAATGTAGAATTTGTCTCTGGCAGTGACTGATGTTGGAGTCCCAAACCCATTTTCCCAGGTGTCATCAGCCCTAACATTGCTGAATGCTGCTGACCTTCAACTAGACACAAGCTGCTGCATTGTCATTAAAAATACTAATGTGTTCCTTTTAATAAAATTCTGTATTTTAGTTTATTTTCTGTTTTGATAGGTCACTGTTGGATTTGTATCCTTCAACCACAAAGATTTGAAAAGAAAATATACTTATTTTTAATTTATTTCACTTCTTTTTTAGGAAGGACAGATATTCTGGGGATGGCATAATGATGTTCATGTTTTTGATACAACCACACAAACTTGGTCTCAACCAGCAATTAGAGTGAGTATGGTTTTTAGTCTCCTCTCCTGACACAATTGTGAGTTTTACAGGATGTTAATAACACAGGATGTTATTAGACTAATGGTTTTTCTATAACATGGTTCTGATGCAAAAAATACCCCAAGTTTCAGAGAGGTGTTAGAAATTTGGATACCTTAGAAGATGATCCAGTGTTCTGTACCTAGGGGATAGTTCTGAGCTCAAGCTTTGTATTCAAGTTTTAGGCAGCTGTTGGGAGTATAAAATGACTGTCAGTGCCCTGGTAGTGGAAAGACAAGGCATTGGAATACTCCAGAAAATGTGAGGGATTTATGCTCAATATTTTGAGTGCTGTGTACATGGAGTTGCTGAAATCCCCTCAGGAGTTAACGTTGAAAAACCTTTGGAACTTGTCTCCCAACTGTGCTATAGTTGTTAGAGTAAACAAATATTCTTCAGCAAATAAATGATCTAAATAGTCTCCCAAAGGAGCATAGATACTTTCCCAGTAAAACAGGAATGGGGACACTTGTGGTTTTTTAGAGTATACTATAAAGGTTTGTAAAATCCTGCTGACTTTACCTAAGAACTCAACAGAAATGTATTGTCACAAGTGACTGACACTATTTCATGGTCTTTGTAGGATGTCCTAAAAATCTTATAAAACTAAATGCAAAAAAAAAAAAAAGAAATAACCCTGGAAATGTAAAAGCCAATTTTGGCATTTAACTGTTGAACATGAAATTTTAAGAGCTGATTTCCAGAAGTTTTTGTTCCTGTTTGAGGGTTTCCTCTTTGGCAAAATAAAGCTGCAGAGGAGATACCAACAGTAACTGATGTGTTACTGTAATTTTATGCTTAGGGATTGGAGATTAATTAATTGAAATTCACTTCAGTAAAGCCATGATAAATGAGACCAAGAGGGAATATATTAAACATCAGCAACTGAGGGAACTCAATTAAAGCTGTCCTTGGCAATTAGGTGTAGCTTCTAATGCCTGTGGAGTCTCAGACATGACAACAAATGATTTCCTTTGAAAGCTGCAGTTGGGTCCCATATTGATGCATATTGGGCTGTATCTTTGCAGTCCCTGTGTTACTGACTTGCCACCATCCTTGGCTGGCACTTGGATGATGTTCTGAAGGATCTTCTTTTGGTTCTTTCAGGGTGGAGATCCACCTCAGCCTCGAGCAGCTCACACATGTGCTGTGCTGGGAAATAAGGGTTACATCTTTGGAGGACGAGTGCTGGTTAGTGTTTAATTAAAATGTTTTATCTGCAGTAATATAATTTTCTTGGCAGTTTTTTTATAGCAGATCCCTTTGTAGTAGAAAAAAATCCAAAATATCTTTGGCTTAGCCTGTGTGTTACAAGTGTTGAATCCAGGATGCTTCTTTTCATCCCTTTCTACCTCACAACAAAGAAGAGTCTGTCTTCCTGGCTGTAGGATTCATGATGAAGCATACATTGTCCCAAAAAGGGGAAAACCAGATGACTGTATAGCAACTGCAAACGTTTATCAATCAACAGAAGCAGCTGATGTGTGTGTAAGCTCTGTAGGAGGTGGTTCCTCAGGAGTGGAGCAGAGGCAAGCCTGCTGATAGCCCAGGTGTAAATCACCAGCATTACTCAACGTGCTGTGCTTGCTGCAGCTTACCTGATTTACACCACAAACCTGCTGGGTTTTTCTTCCCAATGGCACTTAATGCAACGCTAGCAAGGAGTAAACAGAACTGGGGCTGTAGCTTGTGCCCCCCCTGCTAAAGAAAGAGACGTGTAAGAGCAGTCAGCTCCTCCTGTACACACCTCACACCCTCACAGCTGCCTTCTGGGAGGGCAATGTGCAGCAGAGCTGCTGGCATACAGGAGCTGAGATTGACCATTGCAGCCTGTGGTTCTGAAAGGTGGGACGTGCCAGAATTCAGCTGGCTTTATAATTGAAACTTCTGTCATTTTTCTTTGTATGTGAGTGACTAAAATACAGATGTCTGCAAGAGCAGCCTGTGATTGTAACATCTGGATCCGAAGCCCTTGGACTCGGTGTGCTCAGGCTGGCCCAGGGTGCTGCAGCATGGTACCTGAGAGCACAGGCTGCTGCAGGCACAGGGTATTCCAGTCCTGTTAAGCCTCTCCTCTGCTCTCTGCATCTCAATTTTGCAGTCTCACTCTACCTTCAGTGTGCTCTGTGCCCTCAGTATACGTGCAGCATACCGTAGAGATTGCTCTGACAGCTTCATGCTATGGATCCACTGTAAGCTCTTCACTGCAACTCCAAGGCTCCTATTTGCTTTCCTGATAGTTGATCTAAGACTGTAGCATTTAATATGCTGTGGGAGGATCCTAAATCCAGGAAATAGTCAAAGCTGTCTGTGCAGGATGCAATCAGTGCATATTTAAAGCAAGGCTAGATTCCTGATGCATAATTTTAACTCCTCCTTGCTTTTTTCAACTTAAAAAAAAAAAGTCTTAGGCATCATCCCCCTGGTTACCTGGACCTAACAAACTTGAAGCCACCACTGGTAAGCAAGGAGATACTACAACCTCTCAGCAACACACTAAAGTTTTCTAGGACTAATCAGAGGAGGTTTTCTCTTCAGTTCTGCTCTGCTGAAGGATTCATGTAAGAATTCAAGCCTGTGGCAGCAATCCAGTATATTAAAAAAACCCATATTCCTGTCTTATGTCTGAAAGTAAGGGTGGTAGTGTATGTATATTTTTAAAGGTCTTTGTGTGAGCTGGAGTTTATCAGGATGTGAGAAACAGATTCTGCAAATCAAGTGGAAAAAACCCTCCTAATTTAGGTGACTCTGTAACCCTCCCTATTTTTTTCTAAATTTAAGTTTTTAGCTCTTTTGACCTAAGCTAATTTAGAGCCTTTAATCATATCCAGCTAGAGGATAAGACCTGATGCTTTCTATCTCTACTACTATGAAAAATAACAGTGAAGGAGCTTTTCAAACCCTCAGCACTGTGTTTCTAGTTCTGTTATGTGAAAGAAAAGGAGTTAACTGTTGGTTGGAGATGCCCTACCATGAGCATAGGCCAACATCATCTTGGAAAGCTGCCTTAACCTCAACCCTGTATTCTCAAGTACTTGCAAATGAAGCAGTGTAGAACTGCACGTTGTTCCCTGTGTCTCTGTAAAAGCTGTGCTCTCTGTAGGGAACAGCCCACAGCTCTGTTAGAGAACAGCTTACTCCTGCTTGCTCAGACAGAAACCAGACCCCACAGACCGAGGCAGGCTCAGAATGGTCACACCACATCCATTTTTTTTTGGTTTGAATTGCCTCCCACAGCAGCAAGGAAAAGTTTTCACCCAAGTACCTTTTCAGAGAAATCAGAAAAGGAAGTGGCCACAAGTGGTCTTGTTTATTTTACCTTTATGTTACATGGCCTTGCACACCATCTCTGGAGTTGTTGCTCAAGCCCCACCTCTGACTGAGAGAGAACTGCATGCAGTAGCTACCAGAGCTGTAGGTTTGGACAAATAACTAAGAAAGAGATTGAAAAAGTATCTAGGCTTACTTGAATCTTGTGTGTCAGGGTTGGCCATGCCAGGCTAAGTGAGCCCCGTGCCTCTACCAGGGCCTTGCTCCTCCATGTCTGCTGTGTAAATCAACTCTTGCTAACCACAGCTGAAATGAACCCTGCCCCTCATTTAGCAAGACGTGAGAGGGAGAGAAACCTAGATGGGAAGAAGTGAACATGCAGCTCAGGACCTTCTGAGCTACCACTGAACACCTCCTCAGCCTCCAAAGCCTTCCTCCCTCTGGCTCTTTGTCAGCAGGGGCTGTCTGTGCGTGGTGCAGAGCTCTCCACCCCAGAGACAGAACAGCAGTGAGGGCTGTGTCTGGGCTAGTCAGGGCTGCTGCACTGGGCCTGTTGCAACTGAACTGCTTTGTAACTCCAGCTGGGATTCTCATGCAGCCTCTGCAAGGGAAATTATTACTAAACTGGAGCTCGCCTGTCATTCCTCCACTGTGCTGCTGCATGATTAGATGTGCCCAAAGAGCACACGTCCTCTGGCTTCTATTTAACTCTGACTATTTGACTATGAGATCCAGAAATACAAGGAGGCTTTGATCTAAAAAGGTTTTTCTCTTCCTTGGGTAGCACCAGCCTCCTTAATAACCCTTTGCTAAATTTCAGAGAAACTGCTTGGGAGCAAAGTCCAAGAAGAGTGAAATTTTGGAAAGCTGTGTTTAATTTTGTAGGAGAGGAGCAAGTGTAACTTTCACCTTAGTGATTACTTTTGATTCACTTTCTATCCTAGAAGTAAGTGGAAGGAGACTCACAAGAGCTAGGCAGCATTCAGTGGGGCTTGAGGAATTAATGTAAGTCAAGGAACAGGAAAGGAAATCTAAAGATATCAGAAACCCAGTACATTTCCTGACAACAGGAGTGACTCCTCCCCAAAGGATGAAGTCTTGCTTTTCTCCATAGATAAAGGAGCAAACACAGGGTTGCTCTGCTCCATCTTCTCCTTCTAGTTCACCATAATACAAATCTTCCCAGGGAAAAGGCTCTACAAGGAACCAGAAAGGGCCAGGAAGTGTCATGAGGCTTCTCCTATTCATCTTTCTGGGAGGAAAGGGCACCTTTTTCCAAACTTGGAGCTAGAACTGGTAAAAGAAGATGATGATGATGATGATCAAAATCAATTGTACCAGGAATCATTTGAAAACAGGCTCAGAAGTGTTGTGTGGACTCTGTTCCTCCAGGTAAGCCCCTGAAAAAAAAAACAAATGGGAGAAAGTGGGAAGGAAGGAGAGTTAGTTGATGCAAGGCTTGGGTTTGATTTAGGTGGAAAATTTTTGTGTAAAGAATGAAGTAACAAAGTCTTTCCAGCAGCTCTTCACACATCTGATGCCTTAATATATGCATGTTTATATTTCCCCTTCTCTCTGTCACTGAAGATGAGAAGATACATTGAACTGCAGTCCTTTTCTTAGAAAGATTTGAGCTGTGGTAGCAGTTTGCTTGTAAATCTGGGGATGGGGAGCTGCTCAGAGCTCACTGTAACAGCAGCCAGCTGTAAATCTGTCCCTCTTCACACCTTTCATCCTGAGACAAAGCAGATCCTGCTTAATGTTTACCAGGCTGCAAATAAAAGAATGTGCCATAGATCAGTAGGATGTCTAAGGAATCCTTGTAGCTCCAAGGGAAATACCCTCTTAGGAGGCTTGATGCTTTTAAGCCAACTGAGAATCTTTTAGGATTATCAGCTAAATGATTAAATTTAGTAGATAGTATTTAGAAATACCTGAGAAACTGCAAGGAAACTTTGCCTGTGGGAAGTGCCAATCCTATAACCTGTGTGCTTCACAGTTTCCCAAACAAAGGTCAGGGAGAAAGAGATTTTAGTTTGTTAAAGCTGTGTTAAAGGACTGATTCTTGCACATAAATGTCCAACTGATGCTGTGTTTCAGGTTCCAGATGAGGTTGATGTACTTGTGCCTCTATCAATCTGTTGAGTCATGAGAACGTAAAGATTATAACACGTTGATTTCCCAGGGGCCAAGAAGCTGGAAACTGCTCCATCTCCTGCCTAATGCCTAGGAAAGGAAAGTCAGCGAGGAGGGCTTGAACAGCACCTTCCTGAAACCTTAATTTCCAGCATAACAGCAACTTTCCTTCTCCCCTTTCTTTAGTAGCCATCCTCCATATCAGTCTGTGTTATTCCCACACGTTACCCAGTTAAATATTTGTAGCTCCAGAGGCCAGGATGTTGCTCTTCTCCCCAGGGGTCTGGCTGTGTACAGCTCCAGCAGAAGACACTTGGTAACCCCATTTTGCTTTCTGCTTGTATCCTTTGTCCCTCATCTCCTTCCAAGCCACCCGAAGGAGCAGGGAGCTGAACAGACTTGTCATGGAAGGCAGCTCTGTCCCACTAGCTGTCAGTTGGACCACACTTGATTGTCACATTCACCCTCTTGCAGGGGTCAAGTGTCTCAGGCCGTGCACTGAACCCCCCACCTTCTGCTTCTCTTCACTGCTGGCCTCTGGAGAGGCATTCCCAACTGCTGGTCACCATTCTCCTCCCTAGGAGAGCAAAGGGTTAGCACATACTTGATCAGAGGAGGCCGTAGCTATCCCAAAAACATTGCTGTTCCCTGAGATACCCTGAGAGGTTTTCCATAGCTCTGGTGGACAGCTGTGGAAGCCTCTCAAACTCCCTGAGTTCTCAGGGGTAAAACTACTGCCGTTCTGACCTAAGTGACAAGTCTAGTTTCTGCTGCAAAGGACCTGCAAGCTGGAGAGAGGCTTATTCTAATAGATCTATGGACTACCCTAGGAAAAAAGGAATTGTAAGGTAAGGCAAGATACATTTCCCTACTTCTCAGATACTGTTTTGTAGCACCTAGGGGAATAAGAAATGCCAATTGAGTGTATTGTGAGTCATTGACATTATTGCTCCCATCTAAAGCAGAGAAATTCCTTCTTGCATTCTCCCCCCTTTGTTTCCAAGGCTTCATTTCCAAACACAGGCAGATAGGCAAGTGTATTGATTTCCCATTGTTCTTATCAATATCTCTTATGATTTCATGGCAAATGCTAAAGGGTCATAAAACCTTCTCAATAGCAGTAACTTTGTGAAAAGATTTCCCTTCCAGAAAAGAGAGAAAACCCCAGATGAGATCAACTTTTTGTGGGATGTCAGGTCCTGAGCACAGTACCTGCTAGAATATTGCCAAGAATAAGTGGCCAGGCAGGAGGATGCACAGTTCTGATCAGAAATACAAAGAAAAGTAATGAGAGGAAACTCTAGGTAGAGCATTATACCTTCTGCAACAACCCACCATGAAGTCCATGGATGAAAATGGAATACGTGTGCAGGAACTGAGTACCACCTGGTTCTTCACTATTAAACCACAATGAAAAACTAAAATTGACCCCACACTGCCGTTGAATTACTGTAAATATTCTTGCTAAGTAGTCTTCTGAGAGTTGCATGGGGGTTTTGAGGAGAAATACTCTTCATCTGCCACATAATCCAGTTACTTCAAGGCACATAGGTACAGTTTTCTTCAAAATGTTGTTATTTGGAATATGCTGTCCTGGGAAGGCCTCTCTGAAGGACTTTGCTCAATGTTTGCTTAATATAACAACTGGGATTTTATTTATTTTTTAGCAAACTAGAATGAATGATTTACACTGCCTGAATTTAGACACTTGGACTTGGTCTGGAAGGTAAGTTTGTCTCTGTTACACTTCATGTTGGACGTAGTAGATTGAAACATATTGTTAAATAGCTCCACTGCTAATTTTGTAGCTTTTCCAAGAGCAGAATGAGAGGTTGGGGGCTATTTTAACAGCTGTTATATTGTGATTTCAATTTAATTTAATCTGGTTGTGATTACTAAGCTTTTCCTGTTCTGCATCAAGGCCTTAATGATGCTTTTTTTCAGCACAGCATGTAGTGATTTAACATCCTAATTTTCAAGATGGGTACGTTTAGCCATATGGAATTTTAGCTTTGGTGTCTTTTTGACTACTGTTTTTACTATTTTTACTACGTGTATTTGGCTCATTGTGGTACAGATTGGGGAAAAGTCTCTGCCCTCCTCTTCCAAGATAAACATCTTCACCATTTTTTTTTAAAAATAAAGTAAAAGGGTGACCTAAATATTCCAATTTTAAATACCTATGTTGGGTAACTTCAGGCACTTGTGACTGCTCCTGCACCAAGTGTGTTCCTCTGCCCTCGAGCCCAGAGCAGAGTGAGGGAGCAGACACAATCCTCTCTCCATTCCTTCCTCCTGCCAAAGAGGTCCCATGATGTCCTTTCAAAAAAACTTCTCTTTGAAGAATTCTTTAATTAGCACTTACAATTAACTAATGAAGTACCAGGGGCCTGGGGACGGAGCCTGCACTCGGGTCACAACAACTCCCTGCAGTGCTCCAGGCTGGGGCAGAGCAGCTGGAAGTGCCCCAGGAAAAGTTCCCGGGGGTGCTGGTGGCCAGCTGGCTGGAGATGAGCCAGTGTGTGCCCAGGTGGCCAAGAAGGCCACCAGTATGCTGGATCAGCACTAGAGTGGCCAGTTGGACTAGGGCAGGGATTGTCCCTTTGGACTCAGCACTGGGGAGGCTGCCCCTCAAATCCTGGGGTCAGATTTGGGCCCCTCACTCCCAGAAGGACCTTGAGGGGCTGGAGCGTGGCCAGAGAAGAGCAACGAAGCTGGGGAAGGGTCTAGAGCCCAAGTGTGGGGAGGAGCAGCTGAGGGAGCTGGGGGGGCTGAGCCTGGAGCAAAGGAGGCTCAGGGGAGCCCTTCTGGCTCTGCACAGCTCCTGACAGGAGCCTGGAGCCAGGAGGGGGTCGGGCTCTGCTCCCAAGGAACAAGGGACAGGACAAGAGGAAATGGCCTCAAGTTGCCCCAGGGGAGGTTGAGGTTGTCCCTGAGGAACAATTTCTTCCCCTGGAGGGTTGCCCAGGGCTGTGCCAGGCTGCCCAGGGCAGTGGTGGAGTCCCCACCCCTGGAGGGGTTTCCAAGCCGTGGAGATGTGGTGTGAGGGACACAGGGCAGTGGGGACCTGGCAGTGCTGGGGAATGGTTGGACCTGATGATCTTAAAGGTCTCTTCCAACCAAAACAATTCCATGAGTCTATGAACAGCTCACAAGACTTACTCATGGTTTAGTATAGACTCTGATCATGATAAATTTAGGAACCTACTATCCATTTGATAGCACCTCTGTAAAGAGTCTTTGAGAGACTGAATAAAGAAATTTAATAGAGACTAAGAAAAGACATTTAAAAGATCAGGGGGGAGGAAAAAATAGTCTGTGTAGAGTGCTGCTGTGGTGGCCCCTCACAGGAGGTGAAGTGTTTGGATTTGTTCATACCTAGAGGGGCAACTGATCAAAGGCTGAGCTCAGAGGGAGCTTCCCAGGCCTGAGCTCAAAGCCTGGTCTGCCAGTTTAAAGAGCCTGATCTTGAGGAAACCTGAGGAAATGAATTCAGGCTGTCACAGAGGGCAGAATCTAGATGAGCTATTGTCAGCTGCCAGTCAGGGGTGAGGGGAAGGGTAATTCCTGGGGCTAGATGATACTTCCTTCAAATCATTTATTTGTGGTGATTAATTATCTGCTAGGGAAGAATCCTCTCCTGTTACCAGGCCACCTGTCAGCAGGCACAGACAGACAGTGCTTCCTAGCATGATTTCATCTCCTGATTACAAAAGGCACCAAAATCAGTGTATCTTTCAGAACCATATCAAATCAGTGTTTACATTTTGACTCCAGTGTACAGTCTTTGCACAGATTGTTTGGAAAATTATTTCTGGCTACACACTTTCATTCATCAAGTCAGTAGTGATGAATGTATTGGAAATTGGGCACTTGCAGGGATCATCTTCAATGGCTTTGAATAGTTCTAAAATCAGACAATCCACTTCCAGCTGAAAACTGCCTCTAAAAAGCCCAAGTCTCATTCCAGTGTTTCCAAGGTGGGGAAATTCCTTCATACTTGTTTGGTGTCAGGCTATTTTCTCCTCTAGGTGTTTCTTGCAAGGAGCCTTTCCTTTCCTAGGCTGTAGCTTCCGATTCCTTTCTGCTGAAGTTTCTGATCACATAATGAATTAAAAAATGGACAGGATAGAACCTTTCTGATCTTGATAACAGAATTATCTGGGTTATTCTGCGGCTTCAGAGAGATTGTCTTTGATTGTCATGTGAATTATCACCAAATGATACTCAAGGATTTAATACAGATTAAAAAGTTTGACTGGCTGAATGCTGCTGACAAATTGACTGCAAATGTTTGAAGTTCTGTAAAGTACAGATCTAGCAAGGAGAACTTGGCTTGTAGAGTCCTACATCCACTTACTGGACATCTTCTCCTAAAAGTAAAATTCCAAGTGATGATTTTGTTTAAATGATGATTTTATTTAAAGCCCTGTGGCTCCTTATTAAGCAGTCATGTCAAGTTTTTCTTACTCAGCTCTATGCAGGTTTCTTAAGGAATCACATAATATTAACATATTAACCCAGGAATATCTTCCAGCATGAGATCACACTATTTTAGTTGCCTTGTCTTCCCTGAGCCCCACTGAGCTGTCACCCAAAATGTCCAGTATTTCATTATTTCTGTTACTGTGATAATTTTTTGTATCAGCAGCATGAAAGATTGAAACATCACCCATCAGTATCTGGATATATATTTTCTAAACAGCAAAGCCTGTTGTATCTCAGCACACTCTTGCCTCTTCTGCCAATTTTAGAAACATCTTATACAAGAGTTGTACGAAGCTCCAACGTTGTGACTTGGCTTCAACTTCAGTGCCAAATTTAGGAGGAGAGCTTTGCAATCTCTGTTTAATTAGCTATGATCCTACAGTCTTTGCTGCCAGATGGAGAGCTGCTTCACAGTCCCCAGTAGTGAAATCCTGAACTGCAGATGCCTGAATTACTCACCCAGGGCTTCCACTGTGCTCACTTAACAGAAACAGGCACTTCTTGGGCATGAGGCAACTGCTGCTAAGATAGAGATCCAAAACAGATGATGAGTTGTGCTTTTCAAGGACCTGTTTCTCTTCACTGATTGTAAAAGAAATAGAGATGACTGTGTCTGTCCACACTGTTAATATTGTAGATAGAGTTCACTTCTGTGTATATTACACTCACAGAACCCCAGCATGGTGGGGGCTGGAAGGGACCTCTGGAGATCACCTCATCCAACCCCGCTCTAGCAGCTCACCCACAGCAGGGTGCCCAGGATGGCATCCAGGTGGGTTTGGAATCTTTCCAGAGCAGGAGACTCCACAACCTCTCTGGGCAGCCTGCTGCAGGCTCTGACACCCTCACACCAAAGAAGTTTTTCCTCCTGTTGAGACGAAACCTCCTGGGTTCCAGTTTGTGCCTGTTGTCCCTTGTCCTGTCTCTGGGCACCACTGAAAGTCGGAGTCTTGTCACATCCTCTTGCTCTCCCTCCCTCTAGCTCTTGATCAGTATTGATCTGATGCCCTGTGAGTCTTCTGGTTCTCCTCTCCAGGCTGAACAGCCCCAGGGCTCTCAGCCTGACCTGGCACAGAGATGATCCAGGCCCCTCAGCATCTTCACAGCCTGCACTTGTCTCTTTCCAGCAGATCCTTGTCTTTTTTAACCTGGGGAGCCCAGAACTGGCCACAATACTCCAGAGGTGGCCTCACTAGGACAGAGTAGAGGGGCAGGAGAACCTCCTTTGACCTGCTGGCCATGCTCTTCTTCCAGGACACCACTGGCCATGGCCACAAGGGCACATTGCTGGCTCATGGGGAAATTACTGACTCCCAGGTCCTTCTCTGCTCTGCACAGCTCACCTCACAAGTGGATAGAAAAAAAAGAGTAGCTGATTCTTCAAGATCTAGTCTGCCTGGGCTGAAAATTCTTACCCACCCTGGAGAGCATCTGACTGAGATTCTGACCCTGCAAGAGAAGTTAGAGGTTGTTCTGTCCCGGTTAGAAGGCAGAACTGTGTCCCAGCTCCCTTATCCCTCAGTTTCCCAGATAGAGAGGTAAATAAGGAAGGCAGGGGTAATGAAAACCTTGCACCAAATTGAAAATTAACAAAATGAAATATATTATTTAACAGGGATCAGAAAGGAAGAAGGGAAGGGGTTTAACAGGGTACAGAAAGGAAGAAGGGTAGGGGTTTAACAGGGAAGGGGGGTTGTAGGAACAACAAGGTAAGGAAGATTAATCTTCCAAATATACAAAACCCAAATGTTGTGCTGAGGCTCCCCGGTGCTGGATCTCGCTGGATTGAGGTGGATTGAAGCTGGATGCACAATCCTTGGACGTGGATGGAGGCAGGGAAGAGTCTGTAGATCAGGCCCAGGTCTCCAAGATGGCCATGGCCACGTGTAGCACAGGGAGCAGCAGAGCAGCGTGTGCCCAGGTACAAGGTCAAAGGAGCAAGAGGAAGAGAGAAGAGGAAAAGGAAGGCGTGCCTTTCTCCCCCCTTTTATAGACCTTGGCAGGAAGTCCGGAAGACAGGAAAAGGGGAGTGGGAATAGGACAGGTGTACGCCCCTTTCATTCAGGCTTGTACCTGGTTTAGGGTTTCAGATCTCCACCCACCAGGGGCAGCAGGTTTCAAACCATTACAGAGGTGTTTGCACCTGCTTTTTCCATCCTCTTTCCACAGTGAGCACATACTCAGTATGTCTTGATTCTCTGTGTCTAACTTTAGGTGCTTTACAACAGAAGTTGCCTCTTTGCCTAGTATCAAGATGGCAGACGGGCTGATGCCCTCTGGATCCCTACTCCTCTCTGCTGGGATCCTCCTGAGACAATCATACACCTAAGTGCTGAGCTAAGGTGACATGAGTTCAGGCCACCCACTCTAGGTGATCCCTTATGTTCAGGTTCTTTACTGTTCCCATTCTCATCTCAAGCATACCTGACTGTGCAGAGGAAATGAAACCAGTATCAAATCTGTCTTTGTGTAACACGAGGAGAGTTTTGGAATAAACCTGCTCTGGTTTATGCATAGGAATCCCATTTCTTACTCAATGTGATCTCAAAGTTTGGGTGAGCCACCACTGTGTTAAAGGCACGATGGCTGACGAGGTGGTAGCTTTTGGCTAAAAGCTAAAGCTCTTGGACCATTTAAGATCCTTTTCCTTGCAGTAGGGAGTCTGTAGCCCCTTGGGATTAATTAAATTTTATCTCAATATTATCTCAAATAACTGAGTCTGTTTGACCTGCATGAACTGTGCAGTTTGCTTGAATACATAGCCCCTCATTTGCTGTCCCTGGTTCCTTCAGCTGTAGTTCGGTGGCTTTGGTGATCTTCAGAAAACAAAATAACAGGCAGTGCTGTTTCCTTAGGTTTGCTTTTACATAACTGGTTGTTTAGGGAGCAGTCACCACCAGAAATAACTTTATTTCCATTTGAACACCACTCTTCTTGAGAATAAACACAGATTGTGTAAGTGTAGCTTTTTCACCTGGAAAAGAGCCAAGCTTGGTCTAGGACAAACTCAATTGTTAAATTTTCTGGCAGATTAATTCTCAGCATCCTTTGAAAACTTGTTTTTGTTTTTGTTTCACCAAGAATTAATATCAGTGGAGAGAAGCCCAAGGATCGATCCTGGCACACGTTGACCCCCATAGGAGATGACAGACTCTTTCTTTTTGGTGGACTCAGTTCTGATAATGTTCCTTTAAGTAAGTAAATTGTAGATTATCAATCTATCATGCTCTCTCAGTAATGACCTCGGGTAGTGTCCACGTTTATTGCCCTTCTCAAACTGCTCAGACATAAATCTTGTCACAGAATTTTCGTGGCACTTGAGTATTTCTCTGGCTGTCTCATTTTTTTTTATAGAAACTTAGGAGCACATTGCATGGTACAATCAGAAAGTATAGTAATAAATCTTTCATCAAACTGTTTATTGTTAAAAGAATAAAGGCCAGAATCTCACACATTTTGATGTGAAGAAGGAGTAACTTTTGGCAGCAGTTGCAGGAGGAAGATCCAAAGAGTAATGTCAGCATAATGCAGAGTTTTGGATGAAAAACAAATCACAGCTACAAAATGTTAAATAGGAAGTAGGATAGTCTTACACTGAGTTCCTTTTTGTTGTGGTTTGAGACTTGGAATGGGGGCGTGACCTTCCAGCAACTGGGAGGACCCTGGGTGGGTGTGAAACCATTGTATTCCCTCCCCTTCCCACACACACTCTGATAAGAGGCAGGGAGTGGGTTCTAATTTCACTCCTGCCTTGGAGCTCGGAGAGGAAAGTTCTCCTTTCACTCTGTGGGACCCTGGAACCATTTCTGAGGGTTTTGTATATGTTATTTTTTGTATTGTTCCCCTAATCTTTGTATATATTATTTTCCTTACCTCCCTTTTTCGTTTTCTGTTCGTTGTTGAACAATATACTTCATTTTTTTTTCAAAAGTGTCTCTCTCTCGGGGGGGGGAGAGGCGAGTACATAGTTCTGTTCCGTGTGGGTCCTGCCCTGAAACCCTTTTTACATGGAACCAGGACACTTTTCTAGAAAAGGCAACTTCTTTTAATGAAAAAATCTGAAATCAGTGAAAATAGTTTTGAGTGTCACAAATATATTTCAGTAGGAGTGTCACACATATATTCCACTGGGAGGGGCAATTTTCTTAATATATCCAAAAGGGGAAAAAAAGTGTATTTTAATGCTACATTTCAATTTAATTTCAATTCTCTTGAGTGAAGAGCTAAGTGAAATTACAGAAACTGAAAAGATGTGAGCTAAGGTGGTGATGATGTTACTGTTACCTTAATAGAAAGTGTTCTCAGAGCTTTTTGTATATATGAAAATATTCATTCTTTTTCTCAAGAAAAAGCACTGATGTCTGTCCTTGTGTTGTAGGTGATGGCTGGATTCACAGCATTACAACAAATGGGTGGAAACAACTTACCCACCTGCCCAAGAGCAGACCCAGGTACACAAAACCAGATGATGTTTGCTGCAAGTTTAGCACTGTAAAAAAATTAAGTCATTTTAAATTATTGGGCAGTATTTTTAAACCACAGATAAAGATATTTTAGAAAATGAATGCAGCATGATTAGATACTTGGCTTTACTAACCTGGTCAGGTTCCTTTAGACCTGATTATAACTTCTTATATTGGTTATAACTGATCATTAATTGCATTATGATGATTACTTGCATTAAAAGATTTTTTTGGGATGAAGGATCTGGGTGTCCAACTAACCTGCTTGTTCCATAGCCAAATTATTTTTATATTTTTGTTGTATATAAGTTATATAATATTTAACTAATATTATATTATACTATATTTTATATATAAGAAAATGTGTATCACACAACTTTTCAGAAATTGGTAAGAATAATAAACGCTGATTAATGTTAGAAACATTATTAGAAACACGGGAGACAACCATAAAAAGGTTAACAGACCTTTCAGGGTTCAGAAGTATTGTCAAATACCTTGTTTGGTTGGTTTTCTTCCCCTGAGCAGAAGCAGATAACAATGATTAGAGTTTTGCAAAGCTGAATTTAGTGCTCAGCAGCACAGGAAGTGGCTGGGGGGGTTTGTTATTTCGAGGCCCTAACTGCCAGCTCTAAAGGTCTTTCTTCTGGAATGTCTATTGTTCATGCTGGGAACAGCATTGTCCCTTCCAGCCCCTGTTCCTCTTCCCTCTCTAGTTTAAGACTACAGAAAAAGATTCTTTCTGACTGAAAAAAAGCAAGTTTCATGTTCTGAACCAGAAGCTGCTGTTTTAAGAGCAGGAACTTTTGGGTTTTCTAACAGTGTTTGAAGCATTCTCTGTATTTATAATGTAAATACTGTTAAACCGATTTGCTGTAGGTAGTAAATATTCAGTTTTTAATGGAATTCCTTCTATACATCCACCCAGGTACTCTCAGCACAATTTTATGTCATTCTTGTAGCACAGCAGACAGTTCTGGTCTGGCATTTGCATGCTTCCTGCCTTATGTTCTGTTTTCTATTACTGCAGTATATTTACCTCAATTAATTTTCTTCCTGTTTTATCTTATTCTAGGGTGTCTTAAACAGCATTGTTAGACCAAGTTTTCAACTCTCTTATATTTCAAACTCTGTCAATCCTGAATAAGCTTACACATTAGCTCCACATGAGTATTTTCTGTCTTTTTAGGATCAGTGCACTGATAGGAGGGGACTGAGGACTGCCTTAAGTAGCAAAGCACATCCTTAGCAGACAGGGAGCATGTTTGGCTTTGTGTTCAGTCCTCCACATGGGCAATCCCATAAAATTTAACTGTTGAATTAGGCTGCCCTATCTCGTGTGCCTTATGAAACAGGATGGGGAAGGGACAGGCTGCAGCAGCTCAGCCTTCACCCTGCACTTCACCTGGAATAATGTTTGTGCCTTGGGTGGCAGTAGGGCTGGGTGGTAGGAACCCAGGACTCTTGACCCCCATGTGGTTTTCAGGCAATTCAAGGGCAGATCCCATGCTGGGCTACCAAGTAAAGCTGTCACTTGCCTGTGCTAGCAGAGCTGCTTTCTTTGCTGCAGCAGCAGCACCAAAGATGGTTCCTGAGACTGACCCTGCTCAGTTTGCTGGGGCCTGTACTGGAGCCCAGACCCTCCTAAGAGAACAGTGGGAAGCACTTGGATCCCTGTACATACACAGGATTACTGCAGGATCTCTGCAGCTGGAAAAGGTTTAGGTCACATGTTTACAGTGTTCCTTTATGGCTTTACAGCCAGACTTAAAAAGCACTGATGATAATATGTATATGTGTGCTTCTTATTATGAAATAACAGAAATATATATATAACAGGCAGTATCTCACACATGAATTAGTGTATCATTCCCAGTGCTTCTGCAAAATTGATTCCCTCCTTCAATTCCGTAAAGTATAATTCCCTTCAACTGTTTTTTTTTAGTAATTTCTAAACAAAAAAATCATCTTCCAGGTTATAGATCTGTGATTTGGCAGCAAATATTCTTCTTTCTGCCCATCAGTTGTACTTGAGCTAACATTTTGCATGCCAGGCTAAAGTACAGAACAAATTGTGTGTTGAACTCACAGATTCCCCATGTTTTCATTGTGATGTAATTCTGTTGCTCCAGATAGAAGAGCTGTGTAAAAAGGTGCCATCAATTCAGCATCTCTGTAATCTAAATAACGTGCTTTGTTAGAATGTTTAGGTGATAAGTTAGAGCAGCTGTGGAGAGGACATAAACTCTGTCAGTCTGTAGGAAAAGCAGCAGGTTGGCAGCTAGGATGTCTACAGAGTGAAGGCAGGAAAGGCTCCCCAGTGTTCTTCGGTGACGGAGTCCATGCCAGAGTTTTCCTAAAGCAGATAAGGCAGAGTCAGATCTACAGGTATGAGGAGGAGAAAAGGTGGGATACAGTTTAGCTAAGGGAGAACAGTGAATAATTACTGCTATGAATGGAGTTAAGAAAGTGAGAACGTTTCCTTGTGCATGAAAGTCATAGTGGTGTGTGTTATTTTGGTGAAGCAGACAAAGGGCCAGAGCTCTGTGGTGATGATCATCTTGTGGTGTCTCCTGCAGTGTTAAAATCACAGAGTTTGAGCTGCTAATAATGAAACTAAATCTAGCAAAGTGTAGCTGCTGAAGTAGCAGACTCTTTGTTTAAAGCAAGATTTTACAAGTCAGGTTTTGGATTGGTTTGGGTTGTTTTTATACGTCCTTCTATATCCACAACCCAAAATTTACTTGTGGGTATGATGTCAGTAACTGATGCACAGAAGCTGCTCCCCAGGAATCTTTGGGGGAAGCATAACACTGAGTCAGGATAACTTGTCTTCTGAAGCTCTCCTCCTTGTGTGCAGGGATAAGAGTCAGTACTGAAAACTCCCACAACTGTTATTATGAATTAAAGAAATAGTGGAAAATTTTAAAAAGAGGAAAAGAAAAGCTCTTCTTGGCAAAAGCTTGTTTTGTTTAGTTGTTTTCTAAAGATTTTCCACTGTAACATTTTGTTGGACTGATAAATAAGGCAAAGGATATCTAACTAGAGCACAGAAGAGTCAAAAAATGACAAAATATATTGGTTTGTATGAAATATGGTGATCTGAAAGGTCTTTTCCAACCTAAATGATTCTGTGAAATTTAGTGATTCAGCAAAATTCTCAGGAGATGGGTGCTCACATTGCTCTCTCCTTTTGTTTTGTTAAAGCAACAAGTAATATGGTATTTTAGGGTATTATTTTCTTTACCTCTGAAGACTTCTGAAATGTTGTTTTATCTTGGTTTGCTAAGAAGTGAGGGTTACCTTGACCCATTTCACTGATATTTGCCAAGGAAGTAGGAGGCTCAGAGATACTGAATCCCAACCTACTCTGTCTCAATAAATGGCTGAAGAGAAAAGAGCCTCTGGCAACTGCCTTGCTCCAGAGAGTGCTTGGTGCTCATTCTCCACTCTTCCCCAAGCACATGATCACAGGCTGATAAAGAAGAGGCTCCATTGTTTCTGCAGCTCACAGAACAACCTGGGAAATGCATTATTTAAAGTAGAAAAGCCCTCTGGGGAAGTGGTGGGGCCAGTAAGACTTCAAGGCTCTGTGCGTAAGTAGTGGAATCACAGGAGTCAAAAAGTGACCTTTAAAGTTTCCTTCACTTACATCCCTATAGCAAAAGAGCCTTCTCAAAAGAAACTTAAATGTGAAGAATGGAGGAGAGTCTATGTGAGGTGAAGAGGTTCATAGCAACTAAACTTACAGCTTCTCTGAAACCCTTAAAACCAGTAAATTTTTAGGTTTGTTTTGCTGTTAACACCCCACTGCTTGGTCACTGGTTCCATTTCTGATTTTATTTCCAGGTTGTGGCATACGGCCTGCCTTGGGAAAGAAGGAGAAGTGATGGTGTTTGGTGGAAGCAAAGATGACTTGCACTTCATGGACACGGTCTGTAAACTGCAGGCTGAAATCCTGTCACTTGGACAATTAATGTTGATATAAAGTTAATACAAGTGGTGATATCATGGGGTTCATTCATTTCACGTGGTGTTGTGTAGCTGCTCTCAGGAAGTAATTTAGGGTGTTTTTTTTCCTTGCCCTCGCTGGGCTCATAAAAAGGAATTTGTTGTTCAGATTGTTTATAAACTACTATCTCAGAGTTACCAGTTTTAAATGTTACATTAACCTAGAAAATCCTGACAGAAGCTGTTTGTCATTTTAATGGTTCTTTTCTTTCTGTTGATCAGGGTCACAGCAGTGACTTGTTGATATTTCAGACTCAACCTTACTCACTCCTCAGGTGAGTTGGGGCTATCAGCATAGAGGGGTGAGTTAAATTGTCAGGTCTGCTGGTACACACGGGTTCTAACCACGTACTCATGTGGGCAGGTCAGAGAAATATTTACTACAGAGGTAGTTTTTATGAAACATGTGGTGATCTGCAGTGGTTTAAACACTGGTGGAGTTTTATAAAACCCTGTCCTGCACGTGTAGATGAATGTAGTGAACATCACAAGCTTTTGTTAGACATCACTTTTTTGTCTCTAGTTATAGACCTTACTTAAATCTTTCTCTTTTTTTGCCTTTTTAAAACTTCTTTATTCCCTCCTCAGGTTGTGTCTCGACTGCATCGGCAAAAACGCCACTCTCCTGAAGAACCAAATACCCTGTTTGCCATCAAAACTCCTGCAGCAAGTGCTGAAAAAAATAACCTTCTGGGCTGCAGTGAGCCACCGGCAGGAGAAGAAGGCTGAAACTGAAAGACAAAGCCAGCTGAGCTCCACATGAGCCACAGCAGCAGAACTGTTGGATGCTGTTGGTTCATTTTCAGTGTACAGCAGCCTTTTGTTAGGGAACTTGACTAATGCTACAGAACACCTGTATGTTAAGCTGGGTTTCTAAGTGAGGGCTGAGGACAAAGAAATCCTTTTTATGGAAGTCTCTCACTTTTCTGCATTAAACTGATAAAACTTCATTTGTATATATGGTTAACTCCTGCTCTTGTGGTCTGAATGAGACGGTCCATACAACTTGTTCTTTTTGAAGGCAACAGATGACACACAAGATGTTTCCAGCTGGATAAAATAGGGCTTAAGTCCAAAATCTCAACTACAGCCTTATCAGCCTTTCTGAAAAGCCAAAATTAGTCCAGCGCAGTCTCTTTGGAAGAGCCACGCTTCTCAGCCATGAAAAGGCCATTTGCCACCACTGAACCTTAGTGCTTGATTCCACCAGCTCCTCCTCCCACCACCCAGTCCAGTGGTGGAGCCAGATGTTGTACCTGCAGTAGGAAAATCACTGAGATGACCATGGAACTTGGAGGAAGAAGCTGCAGCGCTCCCGTTTGTGTAGGAAGGCTTCGAAATACGTTGGTAACAAGTTTCGTAACATGAAAGTTGATAAGAGGATTTTCCTGCTTCTGTAATCAACGAGTCCTTTTTGAAATAGGTTGTATATTGTATTTTGGATGTGTAAAATTTGTATTTAATTCTTGGGTTAAAAAAAGGAAAAGCTTATTTATTGTTTAAAAAGAGCCTATGTAGTACTTGCTATTTTTCCGTTTCAAATATTTAGGAGCACAGTCATTAAAGTTTTATAGAGAGTTGAATCAAGATGGATTTTGAATACATTTTTTTTGACAACTTTATCATCTGCAAAACTGACATAAAGGGGGAAGAGAGCTTTTGGAACAAAGTTATCTCATAAAGGGAAGTTTTGTGACTGGGTGTTGAAGCACAGGCATTATTTTATGTGGACTAAATTTAAGAATTTAGTATTAGGTGGCAGGGATTTTTAGTGGAGAAGTTGCCATCTCTGGGCGTTCTCTTTCCACAGCAATTCCCCAAATCTCTTGCTGGGCATGGAATAAGAAGGACCTTGAGGGGCTGGAGAGGGTCTAGAGAAGGGCAACAGAGCTGGGGAAGAGTCTAGAGCCCAAGTGTGGGGAGGAGCAGCTGAGGGAGCTGGGGGTGCTGAGCCTGGAGCAAAGGAGGCTCAGGGGAGACCTTCTGGCTCTGCACAGCTCCTGACAGGAGCCTGGAGCCAGGGGGGGGTCGGGCTCTGCTCCCAAGGAACAAGGGACAGGACAAGAGCCAGGCTGAAGCTGTGTCAGGGCAGGTTTTGATCGGTTATTACGAATCATTTCCTCCCTGTTCGAGTGGTGAAGCCCTGGCCCAGGCTGCAGCGGTGGAGTCCCCATCCCCGGAGGGGCTCACCACACGCGGCACCTCAGGACACGGCTGAGCGGCCAGCGGCTGGACTCGGCGACCTGGAAGCTCTTTTCCAACCTTAGCGTTTCTCTGCTCCCACAGTCCCCTCCGGGGGGGAGGGGGAAGTTTGGGTGACAGGC